ACACACACACACACACACGGGCGGGTGCAAGGGGGTGGCCTACGGCCTTCGGCCACCCCCCCGCACCCACACCGTCGTCAGAGGTCTGCCCCGACAGTACAATCGTAGAAGTCGTGCGCCCCTCAGTAGGGGGGGAGGGAGAGATGGACAGAGGTCTGTCCCGACAGTACAATCGTAGAAGTCGTGTGCCCCTGTGCAGGAGGGGGGGAAGTTACTTCGCGTGGAAAGTTCAACGTTTCTGAACAGGGAAAGCTGTAGAATTTTGCGTCTGACAACAATATATTATATTTGTTTGGCAGTGTTAATTTCAAATATCGTGCATACTATTGGACTCAAACCATACCAAGCGCATGCGCACGAGGTCAGAGAGCATGAAGAAAGCATACTCGTAGCACTACATATAGTCGGTAAGACAGATTTCCTAACCTGAATAGTCGTCAACTTTAACGTTAAATATCTCGGTTCGTATAGCAGAGCGACACTTATTTCTTCAAAACTCTTTCGTTTTATGCAAAAACGCGTCGAATGAGCCTAATTTTATCGAAATCGGAGGTTGAGGGGGTATTCTGTATAATTACCTTTAAAACATGTTTAGCCGTAACCTGACTAAAGACAGATATTAAATAATTTTTCCAGAATTGTGCAGTGCAACCACTCATTTTTATTGTTATTATTTTGTACTGAGCAAAAACTACGAACATAACCTTGAATCAACTCAAATCAACTTGAATAAACGATCACATACGAACGCACATATTCGTGTGAGTGAAAGAGTGAAATGGCCTATATTTCTCTCTCACTTGTAGGATTTCGCTAGGAAATGCCGGACTCGCCTGATGGCCAGTCTCTGTTAGAGGGTCTCTAACTCGTAGCACTACATGTAGTCGGTAAGACAGATTTCCTAACCTAAATAGTCGTCAACTTTAACGCTAAATATTTCGGTTCGTAGAGCAGAGCGACACTTTTTTCTGCCAGATTCTTTCGTTTCATGCAAAAACGCATCGAATAAGCCTAATTTGATCGATTTTTAAGGTGAGGCAGTGATTCTGTATAATTACCAAAATTATTTCTTTAGATCAATAAAAATTTCTTTGAAATTAAAATATTTGTTCTCAGTGTATAGATAACTTTATCGAATATGGGCAACACAACGATGAAAACAAAAGTCTTTCCTTTTTACTTCAAATCCCGCGTGAAATTCGCGTGCCAGAATTACGATTATTCTAGTCATATCAGACTAGACTAATTAGAGACTAATTGCAAATTGGAGATTAGAATTTTATGGATTAGATAACTTTTATTAACTTTTAATTCGTTTTATTCTAATTAGTTGAATTTCTAATTCAATAAGTTACAAATTAGAATTTGACTGAGCAGATAATTTTAATTTTAATCTATTTTATTCTAATTGAGTGAATTTTAATTAGAAATCAATCAATAGAAGTAAAAAGATACAATTAAAATTATCTGATAACTATTAAGTTCTAATCTCCAATTTGTAATGTTTAAATGCGTTTTCTAATACGAATTTTTAACGATACGTTTTGCACTTATCAGCTTTCAAAACGGAGCTAATATAAGCGGAAGAGAAGAAAGGCAAGATGTCATGAGGAAGAAGAGTGCGAGTGTGCGTGACGAAGGAGACAACTTTCAAAATAACGGGCGAATTGGCGGAACGATGTTAACCATAACTATACATACTAGGGTCTTAGAAATCCTAGTATAATTTGCTAAATCGAGATTTTTTTGCATTTCTGAACTTTTTTTTCTTTGAACCTATATATCTCAAAACTCCTTAAGTCTATCGACTTTTACACATTATAAACTTATTACTTAATTAAAATTAACTCTCCATCGATTAAAAAAAATTAGTTAAAAAATCGTTTATTTGTACGAAAGTTACGGTAACAAATATGAATGGAATTCCAGGGCCCCTCAGAGTATGTATATCAAGGGAACAAAAAAAGAGTGTATAACTAGGGTCAGGGCTGGCAAAATACATAAAAAACGTAATTGAAATACAAAATACTAACAATCTTTGTACTTGAATTACAAAATACAAAATACTTTTCGATTTGAAATATAAAAATACAGAAATATTTCCAAATTTTGTATTTCAAATACAAAATACTCTTCCAAAATTTTCATTTAAAATACAAAATACTGTTTTTGAGTTAATGTGCAGTAAGAGAATTTATTTAGACTCAAATTTAATTTAATTAACTCAAAATTTCATTTTAAATGAAATACTAAAAAAAATGTTTTAATATTAGATCCTAATAATCTTTAGATCTGTTCTTTTTAGTTGAGCTTTTGTACCAGTTTATCTTTCTTTCTTTTCTCTCCAGGAAAAGAGAAAAGGAAAAAAGACGAACTGGTGCAAAAGTTCAGCCAAAAGAACAGGCTTCTTGACAATAATAATAACTTGAATTTTTCTGATACGACAATCTCATATCACAAAAAAAAAATATAAAAATTGTGTGCTTGTATTTGAAATACATTTGTACTTTAAATACAAGTATTTGAAATGTATCCAGCCCTGGCTAGGGTGAACTAACGTGCGTCTCCTCATGAGATTATCAGAATCACATGGACAAAAGCCAGGATAATCGGTCGGGATGAGAAGGAGAAAAGCGATCTCGTATACACCAAAGTCGATATCACTACACCCATTCGAATTTCTCAAAGATAATGTTGCTTATTGTGAGCCACGACAACGCGGCAAAGCTATGAACGAGTTTTGTGTATTTGGTAAACATTTGGCGTACATTGGTGTACATGCCCGGCGTGCGTACGTATTTGTAGGTGAATTACGACGCAATATCGGTTACAGATAGGGAAATCATACGGTGCACTATGGCACGTCGATCGGTGACACAATTGTCCGTACAGTATCGACCTCGCGGGGGGAAGGAAGGAAGATGCTCCCCCATCCATATCTCTCTCTCTCTCTCTCTCTCTCTCTCTCTCTCTCTCTCTCTCTCTCTCTCTCTCATCTCTCTCTCTCTCTCTCTCTCTCTCTCTCTCTCTCTCATTCTTATAGTTTTGGGAAGACTACAAGAATAAATAGCAGATCGTTTACCGTATCACCATTGTGCTAATCTCCGCATTCGAAAACGAATCTGCTCCAATTTTCGGCAACGAGAACGACGATGAATTGTGATTAATGTGTTTTCGCCTTTTTCACTGAATATCTGAATCTTCTTATTTTCCTCCCAGTCTTCTTGGTTTTCCAATCCACTAAGGAAAGTTGCAATGCCACAGTTTTAATTTGTACCAAGTAGTTTGTCTACTTGAGGAAATAGGAAGCACCATTTAAATTTCATTCGATATAACAATGTCCGAATTATTCTCTGTTAACAAACGCAGCGGCACTCTTCCACCTTGTTACTTCTTTCTTTCCCGACGAGAAGTTCTCCGATTACGAATAGGTACTGATGATATTTACGTTAATGAAATCGCACTGTCTCCCTCCACCCCGTTTATTGTTCTAGCCTCGTTGGATCGTCGCAATCTGTCGTGTTTATTATAAGCGATGACGATGACGACGACGACGACGACGATCCTTGGGCAGGACAGAGACCCATGATCATGCGAAAGTTACGCGAGTGTCATATCGATTATGAACACCGAATTCCGCCTCGCGACACTTTTTCGCGTTTGTTTCTAACTTTTAACAGTGCTATTTCACTACCCTTGTTCGATCGTCCCTAATCGTATACATTTGTTTTGCACTGTTTTGCAGATCTCGCGCGACAAAGCAACAGCAGCGGCGACGGAATCGAGAGATGATAGTTGCGCCTCCAAGGAGTACGTGCACAACACAACACGTACGTGACGTACGCACGAACACAGAACACAGCACAAACAAAACACACGAACGCAATACGCACTGCGCACATGAAACCTCCGATGTAAATGGAACATCGACAGCAAGTGCGAGCACTGCAAGCAGTGCAAGCACGAGCGTCGACCAGTGATGCCAACTATTGAAAATAGAACCCTCTAATTAGTGACCCTCTAATAAGAGTCTGGACACGTGAAGTCCGCCATTATTCGTCGAAATTGTGCGAGAGAGAAAAAATCATGCTATCTCATTCTAGTGGCGCTGTAAGTTGTAGCTGATTGTAGCTCTACAAACTTCATAGTTTCTGTTTCTGTTTCGTCTCGCCTCATGCATCGTATCATTTTTAAGACCAGGACCATTAATATTCGAAGAAGAAGAAGAATCATTATGATTAATATTATTATATTATTATATTATATTATTATATTATTATATTATTAATTATTATTATATTATATTATTATATTATTATTATATTATTATTAT